AAGCTCTCAACTTTGTTTCCAGCTATATTAATTTCTACGGTCTAAATGATGCATCTCATAAATAAGTTTGAACACCTGAAGATACAATTAGAAGCTACAAAATTAGCAACTGACTACTTTGCTGATGAAAATTGCATGGGTAGAGGTGGGTTTGGCAAAGTATATAAGGGAGAGCTCGTTCATTCCAAAGGGCAGGCAGTTGTTGCTTTAATCCCAAATTTGGACAAGGAAACCCTGAGATTTGGAAGGAGATCATTATGCTTTCTCTATACAAGCATAAAAATATCGTTTCTCTGTTAGGATTTTGTCACGAGAGTAACCAGAAGATCCGTGTGTATGAGTACGCATCTAGGAGAAGCTTTGACTCATATCGCAATAACCATGATCTAACTTGGATTCGCCGGCTTAATATATGCATCGGAGTGGCTCGTGGATTATTAACAAAAGAATTAACAAAAGAATTTCTTGAATACACGTTTCTTGTCTCGAATGCCATAGGCACTCTTGGGTATTGTGATCCACTATACATCGTAACAGGATTACACGTTTCTTGTCTCGAATGCCATAGGCACTATTGGGTATTGTGATCCACTATACATCGAAACATGATTATTAACAAAAGAATCTGATGTTGATTCTTTTGGGGTAGTGTTATTTGAAGTGTCGTGTGGGAGGTTGTGTATCACTAAAGAGAATGACATTTTAACAGGTTGGGTGCGACAGGACTACCCACAAAACAAAATAAGTGATCTTATATTTGGTAATATAAAAGATGGAATGAATCCCAAATCATTGGATATGTTTGTCACAATAGGTTATTGGTGTTTGGAGAGAGACTTGGAAGACCGTCCACTGATGTCCGACGTTGTGAGCATACTTGAAAGTGCGCTCAAATATCAAGTAAGTTATGATGTTCCTTTACACTCACGTGTGTTTAGTTTGGGCTGGATTGTCATTAATCATCCTACGCTAAAAGATTATATATATATATTTTTTTTGGAAACAGCTATATATTATAAACTCAATTAGAATAGTAAGTAGCTATCTGAGAGTAAAGTAGAATTACAAGAACCAATTAAAACAAGAAAGGGAAAGTGCAAAAGTCTTCCCAATTAGAATTAAACCTTTCCCCCCTATATTTAATCCATGTATAGACCATTGCCTTGATGTTGTCCACCACTCCACAAGGGTTAGCAAATCTCTCCTGGAATAAACGTTCATTACGTGCTCTCCATATTCCCCAAAGCATCCCATAACAAATTGCATTGAATCTTTCCCTTTTTTTTGGACACCTGCTCCAGTTTGCTGCAAATTGGATCAACTCGTCTATGTTCTGAATATTACATGTAGTAACACCACACCAACTAATTATTTTCTGTATAACAGTGGCTGCAAAAGGGCATTTAATCAACACATGATTTGCACATTCCGATTCACCTATGTGGGCACTACATTTGTCTATTTCGATCTTGACACCCCTTTGTGAAAGTGCCATAGTTGTTGGGATCCTTTCCAATGCAGATCTCCAAATGAAAGTTATGACTTTTATGGGAATGAGTTTAGTCCAGGTGATTTGGTTGTTACTACCTGATATAGAAGGTTGTGTATCGATTTTCCTCCTTAGTAGATCTACCTGATAAATGCCATTTGGTGCTAGTTGACAGGAGAATTGGTCTTCACCCAATTGTAAACTAACTGGTCCAATAGCTGCTGATATACCATCCACTTGGGATGCCAAATCCGTATTCAATGGACATTTCTTCCACTTCCCCATAAATTCACCTTCTACAATTCTTTCTGGCACCAGACATGTTTTTTTCATCTCGATCTCATATAGTCCTGGGTAAACTATTTTTAATTTTTCAGAGCCTGCCCATGTATCTTGCCAGAACTGTGTATTATCTCCAGACTTTATTATTTGTTGAAAATTTTCATTGAATCTAAAACCCATCGCTTCGATATCCTTTTTCACACCAACAATATTGTTCCAACCACCTTTGAATTCCTTTTTTTGCTAAGTAATCGATCGGTTTGTTTTTTAAATTGTGTATTCCTACAATAACTTTAGCCCACAGAGAAGATGTTTCTTGTTTAATTCTCCACCACCATTTCACCAGCAACGCCACGTTTAATGTTCTTATAGATCCCACCCCTAACCCACCGAGTTCCTTGGGAGCAATTACTTTATCCCATGCAACCCAATGAATTTTGTTCTTTTCCTCACTTTCACCCCATAGGAACTTCCGACGTATCTTTTCAAGTGATTCAATGACCCCGATCGGGGTTTTAAAAAGTGACATGTAGTAAGTTGGAAGATTGCCTAAGACCGCCTTAATTAATGTGACTCTTCCTCCGAATGACATCGTTTTGGATTTCCAAGTAGAAAGCTTAGCTTGGAATTTATCAATTATTGGTTGCCAGTTCTTTATCAGCTTCATGTTTGCACCAACCGGTACTCCAAGATATGTAAAGGGAAGAGATCCCGATACACATCCCAAAATTTGTGCCCACCTAGCATTTTCTTACGGTGACACAACAACACCCACTACTTTTGATTTGCTATAGTTTACCTTCAATCATGAGGACGCGTGAAAACACTTGAGCATAGCTGCAAGATTTTTCAGGTTTTTCCTTGACCATTCCCCTATAAACAATGCGTCATCTGCATAAAAACGGTGTGAAATTATCGGGCCATCTCCAAGTACCTGTATTCCTTTGAATATGTCTTTTTCCACCGCCGATTTCATTGTTGCATTTAACCCTTCCGTTGCTATTATAAATAGAAAAGGGGAGAGTGGATCCCCTTGCCTGACACCTTTCGAGATGTTGAACTCTTTTGTTAACGATCTGTTTACAACCACCGATGCTCTTGAGGATGATAAGCATCCACGAATCCATTTTCTCCATTTTGTCCTGAATCCCATTTGACTTAAGATTGAATCCAAGTATTCCCAGTTAATGGAATCAAACGCCTTATCAAAGTCCACTTTGAAGAGTAGAATGTTTTTCTTGATACTTTTTTCCCACCCACAGTTCATTAACTATTAATGGACCATCGAGTATACTTCAACCAGCAACATATGCCGATTGTGCCTCCCCCACAATCTTTCCCACAACTGACTTAATCCTTGTGGCAAGTAGTTTTGATATTACCTTATACATACAGCCAATCAAGCTGATTGGTCTATAGTCACTAAGGGTGGATGGATCTTTAACTTTTGGAGCGAGTGTGATGCAAGAAAAGTTACATCCCCTCCCTAGGGTACCAAATTCGTCAAAGTGGCCAACAAAGTTCATCACGTCCTCTGCAACTACGCCCCAATATTTCTTTATAAACTTAAAGATCAACCCGTCTGGACCGGAGCCTTGTCTCCACCACAGGCCCATACCGCCTTCTTAACTTCATCAACTAAGAAAGGGGCTTCCAACCTGATGGCATCCATCATATCAATAGATTTGATGTTGGGGTTGACAAGTTTGGGGCGTGATACCCATTGCTTGCTGAATTTGTGCTGGAAAAAACGGAAGGCTTCGTTTTTTAATTCTTTGACACCGGGTGGACCATTTTTCGTTTATCATTAGACCCACAATTTTGTTTTTTCTTTTGTTATTCTTTACGTATCCATGGAAGAACTTCGAGTTCTCATCCCCATCTACCACCCATCTAGTTTTTGATATTTGCTTCATATCCATCACTTTTCTTTTCTCAAACTCCAATAGTTTTTGTAAACCTTTACTTCTAGTTTGCAGTTCATTAGAGGATAATTCTCTACTTTCAGCCAACTTTTCCAGTTTTCCAATTGTTTCTTTTGTATTATTCCACTCCAAATTTTCTTTATTCTGTTCTTCCTTTCTCCACTTTCTTATTCCTTCTTTTAGATGCTTCAGTTTCGCTGCCAATTATACATCAACATCACCATACCCATGGAATCCTGCCCACATATTATTAACAATTTGATCTAATCCTTCCAACAACAACCATGAGTTAAAGAATTTGAAGTAGGGAGGGCCGAAATCTTCTTTAAAAGTGGAGAGAGTGATTGGGCTATGGTCTGAGATTTCTCTTGGATGGGCAGTAGCTGTTAAGGACGGAAATGTATTCAAGAAATTCGAGCATGCCAAGAATCTGTCAAGTTTACTAAGTTTTGCGTCTACTCTACTCATAAATGTGAATCTTTCGCCCCCCATGTTGAAGTCATTAATTTCTGCTCGACGAATGAATTTATTGAACTCAGTTGCGCTAGAGGAACAGAAGTTCGATCTAATTCTATCTTCCTTCCTTCTTACTACATTAAAATCACCAAAGAATAACCATTTTCTTGTTCTCTCCTTTTTAATTTGTAGTAATTTGTTCCATAGCTCTTTCTTCTCCACTGGGGTCTGTGGGCCGTAAATATTAGCAAAAATTGTGTTCCAAGCGGTTCCGATCCAAGTACCAATAACAATCAAGTAAGATTGATTCTTCAAGACTTCAGTTTTTTTTTAAATAATTTGTGTTCCAAATTGATATCAGACCTCCGGACCTTCCGTTTTCATCCACACCTTCAAAATTAAATTCCTTAGAATCCCAAATTTCATTCACATTTATCTTAGAATAATCCAGTAGCTGTGTTTCTTGAATTCCTACAAAATTGGCTTTGTTCTTTACTTTCAACTTCTTCACCCAACTTACCTTGGCATCGACCCCAATACCTCTGATATTAAGGGATAGACACTTCATTGATGACCTGGGTGTACGCCGTTCTCGCCAACAATTTGAGCAAATATGACGTTGCTCGCGTTGATCTGAAATCCACATTCCGCCCCAATTTCAGCAGTGTGTGAGATTCCCACAGAGGAGGAGCTAGAGCAATCTCCCAAAACTTCGTTGGTCGCGTCACAATTAGCACCTTCCACATTCCGATTTAAATCTAGAGGCGTAGATACCTCGTGGATTTCTGCAACAGCGATACTAGATATATTTGGGGGGATACCAGGAGGCGCGAAGTTAAAAAATGGTGTTATGTTGGTGGAGTATTTTTTCTTTTCTTCGTAGTTGGGCTGTAGATATTAGGAGATCTAGAATTATTGCTTAGGTTCCGTAAAGGTCTTATTTGGGCTAACTTTGTTTTTGTTGCCTGAAAAGGATTTGGGAACGACCCAAAACACCCGAAATGGACCATATTTTGAGATGGCCCAAAAGAGGTATTTAACGTCCATCCATCCCTCTGATCATCCGTAATTTTATCATTCATTATCGTGCCATTAAAACTATCTTCTGCCACGCATGGATCAAATCCCAATACCTCAACATTCTTATTTTTGAGAATCTCAACCGACTCCATGTTTATGGGGAGAGTACTCGTTGCATTACAGGAATTAATGAAGTCATTAATTTCAGGTTCATCCCCCAATACAGCCGGTGATATGGTCTTCAGGCAGTCATGATTCGAATTTCCGGTTACCTGGATATCATTGTCGTCTTCCTGGCGCCTAACAGGTTGTGTCGGATGTACAATTTCTCCTTCTTCCGCCTCTGTATTTTCTCCTATCCACGTTTCTAAGACTCCTTCATCATCAGATTCCTCCTCTGACGAGCCAATCTCATCTTCGTCGGAATCTTCTACCACTTTGTCGAACGGCAGCGGGTGGAATGGGGAGCAGTCATCCGTATATTCTACTACACCAAGCTTGTAGTACTTCCCATCTGCCATGATAGATATTTCTTCATTTATCCACTTTCTTTGAGACGTTATAACTCCCACCTTACCCATGGAGTAACCTCTTCTTGTACGTATCTTGTCAAATGGGGATATCACTTTCCCGAATCTACCAGCAATCTTGGAGAAGTTCTCCTCATCAAATAATCTTAACAGTAGTCCAAGGATTTTGAGCCATGCCGTTCTTTCATATGGCCTCTCTTCTTGATCTGCTAGCATCAACCACTTGAACCACTCATTCCATCTGTTGTTATCTTCTAGGAACTCTCTAGCATCCATCGAGTTGCTGAAACCTAGAGCTATGGTTAATCCTCCCAGGTATTTCGTGTCATCGTTTCTTAACAGGGAGGCCGGGAGGTTACTAATGTGGTCTAGACTGTGGGCTTCACCAATCAAAGTCTTCTTCTTTAGCCATTCTTTCATTTGTGTGTTGGAGTTGAGTCTAATAGGAGGTTCACTTACCAGCTGAGTCTCCTTTTGAATCCCCATTTCTTGTGCATACGAGCGATGGTCTCTTGTTCCCGTGTTCACCCGGGGCGGCGGAAGCGGTGGGATGATTCTGTGGTGTGGCTGTTGCTTGAAGGCTCTCTGCTTGTCACGAATTGGTTTCCTCCTATGCATAGAGAGATTGATATGCAATGTCATGTCGCCTAACTTTGTTCCTTGCAATCTTTAATGTTTTCCAACGCCTTTTCATCTTCAATTCCTCTGAATCTAACGAACGCAAAGAACATTCGTTTATAATCTTTTCTTCCTCCTAGATAAACGTCTGTAACCTTTCCGAACTTGGCGATATGTTTCCATAAGTCTGACTTACTAGTGTTTCCAGAAAAACCTGCTACATACAAGTTGGTAATCTCCCCGTCTTTGTGGTTTTTCACTGTGTTTTTCTTTCGCCGGACTTCCGTCCAATCCTCCCTATTCGAGTCCATTTTTAGTACATGAAACTAACTTATAAAAATATAAAGAAGATACTCACTAGTAACTACAAAACATTAATTAGTAATTGAACCACTTTGCTAAAAGATTATATAATTTTCATATAATCCACTATGAAATTATTGGATAATCAGTGACTGAATTGTATGACAATCTTATTACAGAAGTTTGGATAAAGTTTTAAGAATTTGGATGAGAAAACTATAATTTTTTATATTTTTGTAAATTCATTGGATGATTATTTTTGCACTTTACATTTGTCACTTTGAATTTATGATAATGTAGTTATTACTAGCTATGTTAATTAACATTGTTTCTATTAAAATATCAAAATTTCTTTTAATAGATATTTAATTAATAAAATACGAAAATATAAAAAACAGATATTGTTGAAAGACACTGGCTGGTGTAATTCATTTGGTTAGTTTGTGGTGTAGTCTGATGAGATCATGAGATGCAGTCAAACTCTGTTGCTAATACTGTAAACCCCTCCGATCCAAGTATATGTAATAACTGGCTGGCTTGCCAATAATAACAACACACTTATATTTATTCATCTATACTTACATTATTTATTCAAAATATTCCCCAAATGTAAGTGTTTCAGAAGCTGCTGCCCCATTCCGAAAGGAGATTACTATAAAAGAAGCACACCTAATTTCTTTTTATAACAGTAGCAACACACTTATATTTACTTATCTATAATAGTTCACCACTAGTTCCAATGGTGTTGATAAAAAAGCCGAACTAATGGATAGTCGTTAGTATATACTTACCTTTTTCTAAATATTGATCGCTTCTAATAAAATTAGCTTCAATGCAAATGGAATTGGAGTTTATTCATAATGATTACATATAGTTGTTTGTGCCACCTCCAGGGTACATTACAAGTAGTGATTTAGACTCATTACACTTACAGTACACATATCAAATACTTGCATCGCTGCTCATAAGATAACCTTACCGCAATGTGTACTAAAAATAAAACCTATTGCCATAAATGAATGAGAAAATCATGGGTTTATTCCCTCTGGCTGAAAGAGATCATGAAGTTGCTTGCACTATTGTGAAGAAGAACACATGCATAAGTCTTATGATGATAAACATTTATTTGTGGTACTTACATTTATTTACCTATAATAGCTTCACAGTAGTAATATATATATATATATATATATATATATATATATATATATATATATATATCAAAACAATGCAGGTTATGGCGCCACTGAGGCTGTACCTATTGACACACAGGCTGTTGCTATCCAGCCTATTTCTGTCCCTTCTCTTCTGGTGGATGAGTTGAAGGAAATCACTGACAACATTGGTTCGGCTTCATTGATTGGTGAGGGAACTTACGGTAGAACATACTTTGGTGTTCTTAGAAGTGGGCAGCTTGCATCTATTAAAATGTTTGACTACTCTACAAAGCAACAAGACCAAGACTTAGCTCAGATTTCTATGGTATCAAGGCTAAAACACAATAATGTCGTCGACCTACTTGGATATTGTGTAATTGCTGGCTTGAGAGTACTTGCTTATGAATTTGCTTTTTATTGGATCTCTACATGATGTTCTTCATGGAAGGAATGGTGGACTAGCAGGTCCTCTTCTATCATGGTCCCAAAGAGTTAAAATTGTTGTTGGGGCTGCAAAAGGGCTTGAATACCTGCATGAGAAGACACAACCTCCAATTAATCATGCTGATATGAAGTCCAGTAATGTTCTTCTTTTTGAAGACCATGTGGCTAAGATTAGAGATATGGATTTAACACACCAAACCCCAGGCATGGCAGCACGTCTTCATTCTACCCGTGTTCTTGGTACTTTTGGTTACCATGCACCTGAATATGCCATGACAGGAGTGATAAATTTAAAGAGTGATGTTTGCAGCTTTGGAGTTGTTCTCCTGGAACTCTTGACAGGATGAAAAGCTATTGTAACAAGCCCAATAATGAGATCCTCCTTCCTTTTTATGCTTCTCTCTCATCAGGTCACCTTTTAGCCATTTTCTTTAATTTCATTTTTTACCCTCCAGGAGTAAACATGCAAAACTCTTGGCTTACCCACTTTTGGTCTCAATATTTCTGGACCTGTATCAGAAATGATAAATCAATGGAGAAAGATACCTCTCCTACTTGAGTTCTATGATTAACAGGTACCTCTGGTTTAAGAAGGTCATGGAGAGAAAAATCATTTCCTTAATAAGCAACAAAAAAACAATCATATAGTTCTCGTACATCTGAATGAATTGAGAGCTTGGCATCACAAAGACCTTCTCCAAGAAGAAACCAGATAAAATTGAGGAACAGATAGGGTCAAGTCCTTTGAGGAGGTCTAATACTAGTAAGAAGTGTCTTCAAGGAAATTGAATTCTTCAAGAATTGTATTCTTGAACTATTCATCAAGAGTTCTTGAATTCTTCAAGAATTCTTCGGTTTGTATAAAAAGTTTATGGAGTTACGGATCTGGAAATCATTTTTTATTCTTCAATTATTCAGTAATACTTGACTTTCTCAAGAACATTCTTTAAGAATGCTTGAATTCTTCAAGAATTATAAATTACATGGGGTTGTAATTTCTTATACAAATTATATATTTTATTCTCAAAGAATGTAATTTTTGTAATTGATGTAATTTTTTTGAGTACTGTCTAAAAAAGTTTTGTATAATCTTTAAAAATATGTCATAGCCAAATAAATTTTTTGTGTAATTGAAATCAATTAAACTCAATTTAAAACTGAATGTTGCATATTCTGTAAAAGCACCACATTTTCTTTGAAAACATTACATTCTTTAAGAATGCTTTGTGCAATTGAAATTCATTAAAATCATATTAGAATTGAAATTGGAATAGATTAAAACGTGATAAGAAAAACCAGTCATACATATATCCTTAAAATCCTCCATTCCTAATTTGTTTATCATCAAAAAGTCTAATTTACCTTTCTGACAATTTCAATATAGAAAATAATTAATTTTTTTCCATTTAATTTCAATCGTGCCATTGATGATCCTAAACCTCCATTCTTTTAATCTGATGGATACAATTTGGTCATACATTCACCCTATAATTACAATTCACATTT